GGTTTGTCAAACATAGATCGGTGTTTCATCAAATAAGGGTTTTGAAGCTCGCGGGTTCGATTCCCCCCAGTGATCCTCCATTTTTGCAAATTTTTTTTTACAAAAATCTTTTTTCTGTTTCGTATGATAATCATGCCCTATAGGGGTAAAATTTACTTTAAAATTACCTTGTGGTCTTGTTGAACGTAGATCGGTGTTTCATCAAATATCGTTTTTGGAGCTTGCGGGTTCGATTCCCCGCAGAGATCCTCCATTTTTGCAAATTTTTTTCAAAAGTCTTTTTTCTGTTTCGCATGATAACCATGCCCTGTGAGGGTAAAATTTACTTTCAAATTTTCTCACATTTCTTGTGGGCTTGTTAAACGTTGACCGATGTTTCATCCAATAACGTTTTTGGAGCACGCGGGGATCCCCCCAGCTATCCTCCATTTCTGCAAATTTTTTTTCAAAAATCTTTTTTTTTGCATGATAACCATGCCCTGTGGGGGTAAAATTTACTTTCAAATTATCTCACATTTCTTGTGGGTTTGTCAAACATAGATCGGTGTTTCATCAAATAAGGGTTTTGAAGCTCGCGGGTTCGATTCCCCACAACGATCCCCCATTTTTGCAAATTTTTCAAAAATTTTTTTTCTGTCTCGCATGATAATCATGCCCTGTGGAGGTAAAATTTACTTTCAAATTACCTTGTGGTCTTGTTAAACATAGATCGGTGTTTTATCAAGTGAAGGTTTTGGAGCTTGCGGGTTCGATTCCCTGCAGCGGTCCCTCATTTTTGCAAATTTTTTTTTTCAAGAGTTTTTTTTTCTTTTTTGCTTTGTCATGCATGCCCTTTGGAGGTAAATTCGTTTTTTTTTTGCAGTTCGATTCCCAACATATCCGTAATTTGTGCATTATTGCGCATGTGGATCATGGGAAAACATGCCTGGCGGATTGTCTAATCTCATCGAATGGATTAATTTCGGCTCGTATGGCTGGTAAATTACGATATATGGACAGTCGAGAGGTATTTTTTATTGCTCACATAATAGTTGATTGCTTTAAAATTCGTATGATTAAATTTTTTGGGGAAATTTTTGCGGGTTTTTAGTAAATAGATGCCATAAAACTTGCAAAAGTTGCTTTTTTTTGGATTTTTTAAGGCAACTTTTTATGGGAGGTTATAATAGGAAGGAATGAAAGAAAGAAAAAAAGGGGTAAAAAATGAAAATTGAAATATTTGTAAGATTATTATAATGGTAAGAAATGTTTCGGTCCATTAATCCGTGAGATAAACGCAGTGGGTCATGGCAGTTTTGAGGCATGGTGAGGTACATCGAGAAGACGTTTTACTGTATTTTTCCGCTAATTGTTGTAGAAATTTTAGAGATATAAACAATGAATATGTCCCTGGCTAGGAGATTGGAAGAGGACGGGAGCCTGAAATCGTCTATGCTTTAACAAATGCAGTTTGTTTGGCGTTGCTGGCCCACCACTGTGAGGAGGAACACAGTCGAATTTTGAAAAAAAATTAATGAAAATGCTGGAATTGTCATTTAGATCTTCCAAATAAACAAGATTGTATGTACAGTGACTTGGTAGCCTGTCTGTGTTTCATTCCTAAGCTGTAGCTTTGGGTAGCAGGAACCAACATCAGCTTAAATATAACGTTGAAATGCAGTAGAGGTCATACAGTTATGCAAACAGACTGCAAAATACGCGTTTTTATGCGTTTTTTGCAGCAATGCAATGCGAAAAACGCATATTGACGAGAGGTTGTCT